TGGGGCCAGAGGAAGAAACTCACTGTGACATCTCTGCTTTGACTCCTCCTTCACGTACCTCAGCCCCTGTGACTTTAGAAGTGCAGTGATAAAGAGATGAGAAATAGAATAAATAAAGGCAGGAATTATGGTTGATACAGATAGCATCGTGCTGCTTTTGTGATAACATCTTCTCACTCGTGCAACTAAACCAGCAAGTGGTGGTAATGGTACTCATTAGGCATTGATTCAAAGAGAAGCTCTCTGTGTGAGCATACATATCTTCCTGCAACCACCATCAGTTGCAAGGATCTTGCTTACATAAGAAGCCTTGTGTAACAAAAAACAACTTCAAATTAATGCATGTGCTCTTTTTGTTAAAAGGATTTAGTTAAACAAATGAAGAGTTTTGCTTTTGCCATTCTGGGTATAATTTACATTTGCTTTCAAGTAACTTAAGCTAATAAGTTTGGCTTGCATCAGACTGCATGTCAACGGTATGCAGTGCCAGTTGACAATAGCCAAAAGTCACACAAGGCACTGAAGATCTTTCTTCAGAGCCCTCTCTAACACATGCTCACGTAGCACAGATTCATCTAAACTGGTTATGCACGCTTTAAACTTGTCTAATTCAATCTGTTACCAGACTTAGCAAGATCAGTTGCAGTTGAGTGTTTTTATTCTTTCCCATTCTGTTCGAAACACTCAACTGTTGAGGGAGAAAATACTTCCTGAACGTCCTTGTCTTTTCACTTCCTTTTCCTCTGGCAGATGATAACTGCTTTATTGCATCTCTCTTGGAGCTGCAGTTCCATGCCTGAGTTTCCTGGGGCATGAGAGCTACGAGCACCAGAGGTGGCTCAACCTGCTGGGAACCCTGAGCTCACAGCCTGATTAACGAGGTTAGTTAAGAGCAACAGCACTGCTAGTTTAAGGAAATAACCACTTATTTCCCTCCCTCGTGGGAATTACCACAGAGGCATTTGGGGTTTTCTATAGCTCACAAAGTGCTGCAACCAGCCCCAGCAACTTGTTCCTCCTCTACCCTTATCCTCCTGATTGCTCCTCACACCCAGGATAGTTGATGATGTTCCCATCTGTCCCTTGGTGCCAAGTGCACCTGGATCACTGAGTAGGAACAGCAGAAATGTGTTCCTAGATTTCCCAAGCTGCTGCTGACCCAACAGGAGGCTCACCTGGCAGGGAGGGAGATGAAAGCCACAACATCCACTGGGGTTGCATTCAAATGTGCTAAAACTGGTCTTACAAGGTAATTAGCATTTGTTTACTGAAGCAGAAGATACATGTCTCTACAAGATGCCCAACAGAAATAAGGTTTATCTGCCAGTCTAGAGATCTGAACCTATTTAAGGAATGAAAATCAAAAGGAGGGGAAAAAGGGTCAGCAACTGGGCCCTGTGAAGTAGGAAGCAATGATGGATTGACTGCATATTGAGTATTGATTCGGAGTGCTTTGGCATGTAATAGGATTTGAGAGCAGACTAGTTTGGTTGCCTTATTATGGGATGCCTGATACAGCGTGCCTTTATGCAATTGTTTTTGGTTTTTCTTCCTCTGTATATCAGACAGAAAACGATCTGATTCTCTCCGGGGTTCACCGTTGAACTTATGACACAGCATTCAGTTTTGGTTTCACCACAACCCTGCAAATGTCAGTACTTTGTCACAAATTCCCCTTATATACACATCTCGGCCCTCCTGAATCATCCAGGCTTACTTCTCTCACCCAATCTCTTGCTCTAGACTGCGTCTAGCCATTGGGGAAATAGTTCATAATTCCCTGCTTAAATAACTGGCTTTTGATAAAGGTCCAACACAGTACTCTGAGGGCTGTTTTGTTTTTACAGATGGAGCAGACAGAGCAGAATGATGCTGCCTGCATACTAAGAAACTTGGCCCGGAGCCCACGCACACCAAAGGCAAAATAAATAAATAAACATCTCCATCAATCTTGACGTCACCGGGGGAAAAAGGGTCACTGCCATGTGGAAGGAGACATCTGGACAGTGAGGTCACTGCTCTGGATGGATGCCACCGAGAAGTTCACATGCTCGGCAGCATCATAGGATAAAATGACAGTTAAAAAAAAAAAAAAGAATAAATTCTAATTGATACTGAGTGAGCAGAGGTTTAAGAATGGAGGTTCGTACCTTCTGCACGCCTGCCTGCATATCTAACTTTTCCTGATTAAAAACTCCTGTGATTCTAGGCACGCAAATAGGAGCAGCCCATCATCTCACGGGGTGCTGCCCATGCCAATCCAGAAACAGCCCTGAAACAAGTAAGAGCAGGATCTCACCCTGCAATTACAGCTGCAAGGTGTGGAGGAGGACCCTCCCCACAGCCCTGGGGATCCCCAGACCTGGGCTGCAGCACCCACAGGGTGCACTCGCCCAGGGTTTTTATGTTACCTGCAGCTGTATGCAGCCACATGAATGCATACACAGAATGACAACCATTCAGAGCAGCCACAACAGCAGACCACTGCAGCCTTTTGTACCAAGCTTCTATTCCGAGAAAATCCTTCCAAACACACGTGGGGGGAAATGCAAAGTATCCCATTTAATAAACAAAAACGTTTGAGGAGCAACGAGAAATGCCTGCTGGGATGGAGAGCCTCTTGGTAACCGTCCCCCCGCACGTATTTCTAACCAACTTGCTCCTGCAGGCTATTGTCTGCTTCCTTCTGTCCCCATCCAAACACAGTGTGAATGCAGCAGGCGATCGCCAGCTGTGAAAGCTCCGATCTTTCCATTCGAGCACCAGGACATCCCACAGCACCCGGACACCCAGCCGTGGTGCTGCGGGCACAACCAGCATCCGCACCGGGCTCTGGGACTCCTCACCAGCCCCGAGCAGCGCTCAGACGGCCCGATTTCAACGCAGCACAGCCACGACGGAGTCTTTGTTATCAGAGCTCGGATTCCTTCAAGACTGCTAAATAAAAAAAGAATCCACCCTCCGAGAGACGGCGATGCGAGCGAGTGGAAAACGCCGTGTTTCTGAGCACGGGCTTTGGGAGCGGTGGCAGCACATCCAGCAGCTCCGGGAGACGATGCCGGTTCCCCCGTGCTATGGAACGGGTTGGGATGAGCGTTGAGCCGAACGTCCCGAGCGGGTTGCCGGCACCGCATCCCCACCGCCACCGCATCCCCACCGCACGGGGCCGGTGGCTGCTTCCCACCTCTCCCTTTATCCACGCAGCCCTTCCGCTTTATTATTCTTATTCTTATCATTATCAGAAGGGGGGTCTCGGAGCTTACCGGAACCGGGGCGAATCCTTGATGCACTCCTCAAACTCCACCGTCATCCTCGCGGTTCGGAGCTCAGCGGAGGAAGCGCAGCGCCCGGCGGCGGCGCAGCGAGGCGCGGCACGGCACGGCACGGCACTGCGCCCGCCCCCACCACCGCCCGGCAGGCAGGGCAGGGCCGGGCAGGGACCGGCTGGAGGCTCGGGGCGGGGAGCTCAACTGCAGATGCCCCCAGTTATTATAGAATGAGAGTGCCCCCGGTTTTCCCGCAGAAGTCTTTGAGATTTCATTGCGCCTCCTAGTTAGTCGACGGGAGCTGCTAAACCACCTTTGTGCGTGGTTTGATAGCGATAGGGAATGGCTTTAAAGTGAAAGATGAAAGATTTAGGTTGGATGTTAGGAAGAATCATAGAATCACTAAGGTTGGAAAAGACTCACAGGATCATCCAGTCCAACCATACACCCATCACCAATGGTTCTCGCTAAACCATGTCCTTCAACACAACATCCAAACGTTCCTTGAACACCTTGGTGACTCCACCACCTCTCTAGGCAGCCTATTCCAGCACCCGACCACCCAAAAAATTGTTTACTGAGAGCAGTGATGCCCTGGCACTGCTGCCCAGAGTGGCGTGGTGCCTCATCTCTGGTGATGCCCAAGCCCAGGCTGGATGGAATCCATCCAGCATCCGGCCCACAGCAAGGGCTGTGTGGGCTTTACGGCCTCTTCCAACCCCAGCCATCCTGTGATTCTATGATTCAGATCCTGACCATCCCCTCAGGTCTCTGCATTAATTCAGCAGCACAGCCCAACCTTCGGGTTGCCACGGGGTTGTGGCCACAGCTGAGAAAAATAAAAATAAAAAAAAAATCGACCTGTAGAGGAGGCACGCAGCAATTCCCTGCCATTAGTGTCAAAAGGATTGGCATCAATCCTGTTACTGCTTAATCTAGTTTTTAATTTTCCGTACACAGTGGATTTGCTGCTGCCATCAGCCATGCAGTAAATCTGCAGTAACTCCACTGAAGCCAATGTAATCACTCAAGGAAGGACATCTGGACCTGCAGGTCCATGGGAACAGATCACATTTGCTACCGGACACAGCACTCTGATGTGGCACAGATAAATGAGACTAATTACAGCGAGCTTCGTTTGGATCCTCCACCCATCACTCACCACAGGCAGAACAACTGCACGGACCACACCAATGGCTGAATTTAAGACTGAGAAGTGCCCTGAGTGTAAATCTCTACCCAAATGCATTCTGTTTAACGAGCACCTGAACTAAACCCACAGCTCACAGCAACACCAGGGCCAGGGGTGTCTCAATGTCACAGCATATCAAGGCATCACCTCAGCCACAGACAGATCCAGGACAAACCAGGGGGGAGGAAGATGCTCCATGCCACGTCCACACTGAGTGCTGCTATGATCTGCCTCCAGACCAGGCTCTGGCTCTGTCTGAGGACCCAGCCCTGCTTCATTGGCAGCCTTTCAGTACCCAAAGGGAGCCTATAAACAGGAGGGGGGTCAACTCTTTGAAAGGGTAGATAACAGCAGGATGAGGGAAAGTGGTTTTAAGTTGAGGGAAAGATTGAGGTTGGATGTCAGGGGGAAGTTGTTTGCTATGAGTGGTGAGGTGCTGGAACAGCTGCCCAGAGAGGCTGTGGATGCCCCGTCCATCCCTGGAGGTGTTCAAGGCCAGGTTGGATGTGGCAGCCTGGGCTGGTGTGAAATGTGGAGGTTGGTGGCCCTGCGTGTAGCAGGGGGTTGGAGATTCGTGGTCCTTGAGGTCCCTTCCAACCCATGCTGTGATTCATTTGCCCGCTGTGCTTTGGAAGGATGCAGTCTGCCACGATTTAACACTGAGGAGGTGGAGGTTCTGTGGGACACAGAAGGCTCAGCTCAGCCCATCAGCGCCGAACGGACAAGGTGACCTCTGCTGGCTCCTGTTCCACCCGCTTCCATCAAATCACCGCGTTTCCCTTTGCTCTTCCAGCACCGATGACGACACGGGGGTGTTGCTGTACACACAAGCTCAGGGATTGCGACTTGCCAAGCTGAAATCCACGCAGCTCGGATACGGCTGTCGGAGCTCCTCGGCTCGCCGCCTTCCCACACAGCGCAGCCATGGCGGCGCAGCGGAAGCGGGCGGCGCTGGGAGGGCGCTGAGGGGAAGCCGGCCCCGCTCCGCCTCCCCGCTGAGCCCGTAGTACAGCAAAGATGGTTTCTCCCAAAACCCGATACTTAGTGTTCTTTCAGTATTGGGGCACTAAATATAGGTAGGTGCGGTTAGAGGTCGGCCCTGCGTTGTTAGGTCCGGAGGGGGGAGGAGGGGGGTTGCATGGAGGAGGAAGGTAAAAATGGGTTTGGGGTAGGGATAGGTTGGGCAGGGAGCTGGGCTGTGCTTTGTGGTGTTGGGTAGGACAGGAAGCAATGGGTAAAAGATAGGAAAGAACAGAGAGAAAGGCAGGCTGGTATAGCAGCACAGCCTGGTGGTGTTATTTGCTGCGTCGGCTCTCTGGGTTCTGAGAGGCTGGGATGCCATCGCTGGCCTGGAATCAGAGCCAAACTGCTCCCCAGCACTGCTTTCCCCAGGCCTTAAACATCCCACGTAGGTGGCTGTGCTTGTTTACGTGACAAAAAGACTGTGGGAGAACTCGTGCAGCCCCACTACGCCTATCTACACGAGGGTTCTGCAGAATAACACCATCACCTGCCAAAACCCACGCTTATTTTTCAGGGTACGGTTTGTTTCCTCGTGGGCTCTGCCCTCAATTATTCAGTGTGGTTGCGAGTGGGCCAGCTTTGGCCTCAGGACATCTCTCAGCACTTCTGAACTGTTTGGGAACGGCTGTGACTCCTGGAGAAGGGAAAGAAGCTCAGCACTAATTGGGTCTTTGCAGCTTTCACATCCACCGTGCCCACAATAAAGGATCTGTAAACAGCATCTCAGATTGGGCTTGAAAATGCTTTACCTGCATACTCTCTCATCCAGGGCAATTTGCTTCATCTTCTCAGCCCATCAGCCTCCATCTGAAGGGCTGGTACACAGAGTAGCATTTAAATGATGATCTTTGTTTCTTGCATGCAACCATGCAGCTGTTTTCTTGTCTGTTCTCCCAGTGTCACGTCCCTGTGAGTTGTATGAAAAGGTCACTCAGCAGCAAGCAGTTCAATGGTTGCCCCCAAGTAACTTCTGGTGGGTTCTCTGTCAAGACATTGGGTAGAAAATGCAGTCCTGATACACCTCAGTAACTGCTGTATCTGTTTTCTTCTGCAGTGGGGTCATGCAAACCTCAGCTGAGCAGTCAGGGGTCGGAGTCCAGAATTATTTGGAGGTATGTTTTCACTAATCATTCTGACATTAAAATGAAATTTCTGTGCTCACACTGTTTTAGCGATGGATATTATAGAGAATAAATACTATTTTTACACTGATTGTTTAGAACATGACTATTCAGCAGTATATAAATGTCTTATTGAGTGTCTAAGTGCTTTAGGAATGGTGCTGGTAGGCAGGTGAAAGAATTGGGCTGAGATATCCCACCCATAAGCTCTAAACACAGCCAAGACATTTCCAGCCATGCCTGAATGTTTACTGAATGAGGGTGAGGATCCTTGATTTGTTTGCAGCCTGCAGAAGGAAAGCGTGATGAATTATGGCTTGAAGAGGAGTTTTCAGGATGTATTTGTATGGCTTCTTGCCTGAGACCATTGTGGAGAAAGTGTATAAATATTGTGCAAATCTTGAAAGAGCCCCAAAGGACTTTCTATCTCATTTATCTAATGCTCTGAACCATCCAGTGTCTCAGCCTCAGGCGCCGGACTTTGGGTGAGCCCAGCAGTTGTTTTGCATTATCCAAGTAACTTTGTTTTAAGAAGGGAATGGGTAGGATGGGTGATTAAAGGGAAAGAAAGGAAAAGAAAAAAAAAAGACAAAGAGAAGGAAAAAGATAAACTTATTTGGTGTTGTCTTTTCACAGTATCAGCATTTCGCTGGCTAGTTCTGGGATATGTGCTTTGCTTTCATGTGGTGGTATTGATGCTGGGCACTGCTGAGCAGGGCTGCATCTATTAGAACCACATGGGATGTCTTAAAGCAAATTTAATAGAAAACTGCTGGGGCCTGTAGGAATTTATCTTCCTTCCTCCATTTCTGTGCAGCTTCATAACACTCGTTTCCAAAGCCAGGAAGGCAAGCGAAGGGAAGAGCAAGATTAAATCTGTAATGAGATCCTTGTTCCGTTCTGTGTATGTTCAGACATCTGTTTTGTTTGCAGTTACAGGCAAGCAAATAACCTGTGAAGTGTAGACTTCGTGTATCAGCAGCTGGTGTCCTTAGAAGTGTAATGAACTGGTTTGTGAGTAGGACATGCAGCTCTCTAGGTGAGAGGGTAGAGCTGTGGCTGAGCAGGAAGCCTGGCTGCAGCCATTTGTCACCACATCTATCATAGAGAACACAAACAGTTCTGTAGTTCTTAGTACTGCATGGAAGAAATAGGAACTTGTTATCTTCGTGACAAATGCAGGTATTTGAAGGAGCTTTTTAATTTGTATTTGATGGGGGATGAGCTTTGCAGACAAAACTTTTCCTTCTTGGAGACAATCTATTTGTCTTGAAATACTTGGAAGCCCAGCTTGCTAGCGATGAGTCCAAGCCAGAATTCCAGACCTTGCTTTCCCAAATTGGGATGTTTGAGATTGCTGACTTGGCTCCTTCCAATAAGGAGAAACGTGCTGTAGGACTCCACACTCTAGTCTGAATTCTTACAAGTGCTCCTCCTGAAATTGACGATCTGCCATGTAGTACCTTTTACTGAAGTGAATAGCTCTTACTTGTGCTACCAGGCACCACATGCAAAGCCTGGTAGGATCTACAGAATTAAATTCACTTTCATTTTTGGTTTGAACCACCTCCTGACCACGTTGTTTCCCATTGTGCTAGAAAATGCTGTCTAAAACTAATCTTCCTGCATGAAGCTCTGCTTTGGCTAGCAGCTTTGTGCTAAGTCCAGATATTATTCCTTATGAAAGAAAGAGAGGGAGAAGGAGAACACAGACAAACTCTGTGCTATGTAAAACAGCTTTGGTACAGCTCCTTTCCTCCAGAAAAAAAAAAAAAAAAAGGAAGAGAAGGAATGCTACAATCAGAAAGATTAATGCAGCAGCAGAGTGATACAGGAGCATAACAGCAAAGGAACTAATGTGACTGGAATGGTATTACAAAAGAAGAGGACTCACCCATCTATGAAGACCTAGGCCTGCAGGGAAAACTCCACAAGGGAGGAAACTCCAACCAAAGATCCTTCCCCTATGGCAGTCAGCCCTTAAATGAAGTTTAAGAGAGGTGCAGCCAGGCTCCAACCCTTCTGATCACACCACTGAATTGCCTCCACCTGTGCTTCCAGGGCTGACCGGGTCCTTTCTTCAGGTGCTCAATCAGTGGTTCAGGACATTACTCAACAGTCCCCATACAAGGAACAAAGGGAAAATTGACCCAGAGAACTGTTAACTTCATCACCTCTTTGGATAATAATTCCAGCAGCCTTGGAGGTTGCTTTGGAAACCCTCTTTTCTAGCAGAAGCTGCTTTCTCATCTTTTTCTTCCTTGTTTTTCTCTCTTCCTCTGGGAAGGAGTTAGATTCTTAATTAGTTTCAGTTGACATAATGCCCACTGAGTCAGCAAGGTTGCAACCAGAAGCTCCTGCATTATTACTTATTAGAACGCAGCACTTTGTAAATTGTGCACCATCTCCAGCAATGCAATGCAGTCCCTTGTGTCTGTGCATCTAATGCCATTGGAGGTGTCTTCCAATGACAACACCAATAAGCAATGCAGCTGCTTGGAAGAGCAATAGACACCTTTTCAAAATACTCCTACTGCATGTTTTTCTCTTGAACATATCCACTTACAATTGACTTGACAGGTTCCTTCTGTAGCTCCCAGATGCTCTGCAGGGGTCTTTCGTGACTGAGCATCTTGAGCATTTTTTATTTAGGCTTCAGGGAGATGCGTGGATGAATTTTTGCTTCCCAGACATAGCTGGTGTGTACTGACAGGCCTGTTCTTCATCTTGCCTCTCCAACATTTGTACAGAGGGAAAAGAGAACAGGGCTGTGAGTAATAAGAGAAATCTGGAATGTGGATTCATATCATTCTGGCACACAACAGTGGAAATTTCAGTGGGATTCAAAATATGGAAGTACTTAGTGAACAAAACCTGTTAGCAGCACAGACCTACTAAATGCAAGTAATGCTTTCCTCTGCTTTACTGGTATGGAGAGTATTAGAAGTATAGAGAAACACCCAGGGATTCTGGTTGCTGCTCCAGAAATATGATTGTCTGGAACAACTGTGACTCTAGAAGTAAAGACAGCATGAAAATGAATGAGATCTGTCTCAATGAAGCACCTCCAGCACATCAAGGTTCCAGTGTTTATAACTTGCCAAGCAGAACGCTGGCATGCTGTGTGGCCTAAAGAAGGGAGCAGAGACCTGTGAACTTTGAGGACATAAGAGAACACAGCTCCTCAATTCCTTTATCTCCTCTACTACTTTTTAGCTGAGCACCCATGGGTAAATTGCTTAACTAACTGTCCCAGTTTTCCCCCATTGGAATCCATAGATGACACCCAGCAGTGTAAGGGTCAGAATTAACAGCAGTAAAGCTTTGGGAGTTCCTTGGATGAAAGGCCTGCTTCTTTGAGGGGCTTTTTTTTTCCCTTCCTGCCTCTGAAAGGGCAGGTTGCCATTCAAGCAATTACTAAATGTAAATAATGCATCTTTTTTGCAGATCAGCGTGGGTTATATTAATGGATTAGAGTATATAGGAACCAGTGGAGGAAAGGTAACAGATGTCTATAGGCTCAAAGGCCATCTGGATGGTGCAGATATGAGACATATGCATAGGTGAAGGGGTCATTAGTGAATTGCCCGTGAAGAAGTTCAGCAGTTCAGAAATTCTCTCTGCAAGGAGATTAATTAGGGTAGGCTTTAAATGGAATATTTAATTTAAATATTTAAATGGAGGCAGCAGTTGGTGGTGGACTCTATTATCAACTGCATGCCTGCTGGGCTGGGGGGAGAGCCCCCAGATGAAGCTTTCAGCATTCACAGCCTGAGATTTGTTGTTGATGGTGATTACATTTCTCCTTGCATACCCAGCACAAATATCTCTCCAGAGAACTGTGCCTGGGAGGTAGGAAAAGGCAGCTGTGAAAATACAGCTTTGGTGGACCTGTCATTTGGTCCTTTACTTCTGTGGACTCAGTGGCTTGAGCAGGGAAACAATCAGGTTTGCCTTGGAGCCTTCGACCCTCTCTTCCTCTCCAGTCTGCTCTCCAAAACAGCTTAACCCTTTTGGCAGACAAGAAACCCAAACTCTTCAGTGTTCCTATTATCCAGCTTTGTTCAGATGTGGTGTGTGAAATAGAATGCAGTGTGGGGATCCGCAGGAGTGTCGTATCCAAACTTTTCCAGCTTTTCCATAGCAAGAAAGGAGGATGTTCTCTCCTGCCCTCTCTCCCTCCATTCCACTCAGCTGTGCTCACACTGGCTGATTTGTGCTTGGCAAAATGAGAAGGAGGCGAGGCTGGGGAAAGAGAGGAGTCTGCAAAATTACAAACATATATTTGCAGAATTTTTTTCTCTTAAAACACAGCTTTTGCTTAAAGACAAAGCGTCGAGCCACAAGACATGGTCTGCTGCATAAAACCTACTTAATTTCTGTCTGCTTCTCTCTGCATAAGGGTGATAAATAAAGATTTTTATTGTTAATTGTAACCATATGTGAACTCCAAATAGAAGGATTAGGAAGGGGAAAAGTTTAGGGTCATTTCTGTTCTGTTTCCCAAGCCTTCCCCTGCAGCTCAGTTACATTTTTTCTTGCCTCTCTGTGCTTTATAATGATATGTTTCTGAGAGCCCAGAATCCTGTCTGCTCAAGTTGTAGGAATCTGGAAGGCATTTGTGAGTCAGCAATTCAAGCTTTATTGACTCTTGGTACCAAATTGAAATGTAATAAAGACCACTACTGGGTTCACCACTCAGGAGGGAAGATGAGAGAGAGAGAAGGAAATTTCCAGTCATTCATCTGCTTTCCTGCTTTTTTTTTTTTTTTCCTTCAGTTGTTCAGATATACTTCATTCATACACCATAATAAATTACATTAAGGGCCTGTCCTCACAAAGACAAAAACTGTATTTTGCAGGTGCAGTAACCTACTTCTAAGCCTTACTGTATGGAAGACCTACTGTGGTTTTAACACTGCTCTAGTAATCTAGAATCCCAAGCAGAGTTTGCCTTTGCAAGGTCCACCCTGGCTTTGCTAAATGGGACTGATCTGAGACCCTTCAATATGTAGCATCTAATTATCTCTGTTAGCATCTCTCTACCTCCCTGTGGTTATTTATACCTGCTGGGATGGCTCAGCATCAGCTCCTCCAGTGCTGTGTTTTATTAGAGCTATGCCTTGGTTCTCTGATCTGTTTCTGTTTCTCAGTGGGACCAATAAATGCATTACATCAGCGCTGTGCTACTTCTCATCTGGTCCCCCGACTCCTCCTCTGTTCTGAACAACTGATGGAAGCACGTTGCCCTCTGTAGCCCTGCACCTGTTGTGGATGGGAAAAAAATTCTGCCAGCAGCAATAAGCTGCTGTATTTTACACCATTTTGGCCTGCACTGGAACAAAAGGCTGCAGCCTGAGCTCTATCAGGCCTCTTAGCTGTAATGTCACTCTGACATCCCTGTGTGCTGTTTCTGTCTGAGTTCTGGAGTTCTCTAAGAGCATGCACTGTGCTGCTGTTACCTGCTTCTGATGCAGCTTGAATGCAGCTCTTGGCAGTCAGATGCAGGGGTTGTGTCTGGATTTAAATTAGTTCTCTTTACTTCTGCCCAATTCTATAAAGCAAAGGACAGGGAGGTAAATATTTTTCACTTTGTTTTATATATGTTTTATATATTTTATATATGTTTTATATATATGTTTTAAGCTGATGTGGCACATTGGATGTTCTCTTTAAAATGATTCTGGGACATAAGGTGAGAAGCCAAATAGTACTAGCAGAAGTCAACAGATCCACCTCCATCCATCTCTTCAGCTCACAGTAAAACTCCCTATTACTCCTCTGGAAACAGTAAGGAGGCATGATGTATTTAGCAAGGAGGAGTAGGGCATTGTTTCCTAGAGAGCTCTGAGTTTCCTCTTCATGGTTCTGTCTCATGTTGGATTGCAGAAGGCAGCACAGAACCTAAAACCTGTTGTTCCCATCAAGTTCCACATCTCCAGCCGGACGGACAGTGGTGTCCATGCGCTCTGCAACTCTGCTCACCTTGATATCCAAAGGGCACCAGGGAAGCCAGCTTTTCAAGAAAGAATGCTCATTGGTTGTCTGAATTACCACCTGAAGCCTGAGCCAATTCGGTGAGTTGGTGGCAAGTCAAAATCCTTCATTTTCTTCTTGTTTGAGAAAGGGGAAAAATATAGCAACAATCTCCCATCTTCACCCATGAAATAAAATTGCTGTTAGTGTTAGCAGAATCCACCCTTCCCTTCCCAGCTACACCAAGGCTACCTCACGTTGTGATTCAGAGAAGTTGCATCAAGAACTCCAGTTTAATATTGCTCTAACAAAATTGGATTGATTTTGCTCAGTGTGGTTGATAAACAGTCCTTTTTATCCTATACAGTTGTAAATGTAGTCATGTAAATGACTAGAGAGAGCTGCTCTCTACTCTTTCTTGTGTTACTTTGTCTTTTTATGAACTAAAAGCAGTTGAAGGTGCAGACTGTCCATGTCTGTACAGCATTTGCTGCACTCAGACATGTCTCTCTGGGTAGTACCCTAACAAGCAGTGTGCCAGGGCACTTCAGTGGGTTGTACAAGAAGATGGCTGATTTGTAGGAAGTGTCTGGATGAGCAACAGAAGTTGGATGCAAGATGCCAATTGGTAATTATTCAGAGGACCCAGTTGCTCTCTTTCATGTTACTGCAGTCTGGTGGCATGAGCATAAAGGAAGATTATGGAGGCAAATTCCCCATGCTAGAGCAAGAACCCAGGACAAAAAAGCAAATCCCTCCCCACCCAGTGAAGGGATTTTTGTAAGAATAGCAGCCTGCTATGAAGCACCCTCCCCCTTCCCACTTCACCCAGTCTGCTTTATTTTCTAATCTCCTCTTTGTGAAACAGGGCCTGACCCAAATGCCGACGCAGCAAGGCCTGGGATTTGAGGGCTGACATCATGCCTGAATCTGCCCTTCATTTTGCAAGGGAGGACTCCAATTCTCCATGGCCTGGGGAGCAGTGAACCCAGCTCTAGATGTGCAGGAACCCGAACAGTTTGGTGGCTGAGGAGGGAGATCTGAATGGTGACATTTCTTTTTCTCCCAGAAGGTCCTTTGTGCAGGTCCCAGATGCTGTGTAAAGTGAAGAGAGACTGTGAGTTGGCTGAAGCTGTGACATGCCCTGTGCTGCTGAGGTGCTCGCTGACCTTAGCTGCGTGCCTGACCATAGTCCTCATCAGTAGACACTCTGAGTTTACCAGGATGCAGTCAGCTCTACTTCTCCCTCTTCCCTTAGTCTGAACCCTTTACAAATGGCTCAGCTGCTTTCCATTAAGGAGCTTGGTGACAGGCATGAGTCTAAATGGATCAGCAGCCAACCCCTCCCTCTGTAAATATACTTTGCCAAGAATTCTCTCCTAATGCTGGATAGAAAACCCAGCACTTTCATGTGGTTGCAAGCAGGGGGTGATGGAGAGAGAGATCTTTGTGAGAACTCGTTGTTGATAGAGCTTGAAAAGGAGACCAGATTCCAAACTGGCTGGCTGTATCATTAGCAATAATGATCTTCTTTGTAGCTTTGCTGCATGATGGGTCTCTTCTAGGAAATGATCTGTCTTTTACATTTGCAAAGCATTTTTGAAAGGATCTTGTCCACAAAGATCAGAGTGTATTCTGCAGATGGGTAACTTGAGGAGGACATTGCTATCATGTAAGTAGGGATAGAGTAGGAAAGTAGATTCTTGCCTTCTATTTCTGGTTTCAGTTTGGTAAGTACTCCAAAAAAGCTGTCTGGGTGGCAACAAGGCAGATCTGGGATTCATCCCACCACCCGCAAATTGGTTTCCACCAATTTGGTGAAGGTTACACTGCCAAAAAGCTGAAGAATGCTCTCAGTCTTTATTTACCAGCAGTCTTGTAAAAAAAGGAGACGTTAACAAGGGTTGAAATGTAATATGTTTGAAGAAATGTTGGAATAAGAGACTCCCAGTTAGAAAGAGCCCAAGATAGCAATAGCATCTACCAGGAGAGGCAAGAAAGGATGTCTGCAGTGAAGAATCATCTGAGTATAAACGGGCTTTTCTGAAAGAATTGTTCAATGGGAAGTTATAAAAGGATGGTTATTTAATAAAAATCACTTAAGTGTTAACAGGAGAAGCTCAAGGGAGATGAAATGCTTGTGGAGATGTGTAGACAGAGGAAAATAAATGGAATACTTAATTATATTACTGTGTTTAGAAAATGCTGGAGGTCCTAGGTTCAAACTCCATTGCAGGCTTGGAGGATGTAGTTTGCATTTCTGATGGGAGTTTATAATAGCGAAGCGGTCTTCTGGGCTTGTTATTGCAAATCTTTGCAGAGGCCTGTGGCTCAGCTTTGATTTCTTCTTCTGTGGTCTGAGCCTTTGCAGAGAAGAGGTGTGAGCCAGAGGCACTTAGGCTGACAAAACTCCCTGCAGCACCAACCTTTTAAAAGTAAATAAATAGCTTTATCTATTATTCGGTCCCAAACGGTATCAAATTTTGTGGCTGCTTTGCATCCTTTCTCCTCTATTTACAAAGCTCCAAAGCCAGAGGGGCACATGGCAGAAGGAAAACTACTTTCTGATTAGAGGCATCCTCTAAAGCAGTGTCTGCAGTGATAGAATACCTCTGAGACAGCGCCTCTTTGCTGGATGCTCCCAGCAGGATGATGACAAGCCACAACTCTGGACTATGGGAAAATAAAATCCAGCAAAAACTGCCACCTTCAAATCAGTTGTAGTGCTCTGGGGATGTGCAGAAACAGAGGAAAGCTCTGCTTTCTCCCTTGCCTGAGGGAAGTTTGTTTCCCCTCTGCCAACCTTTGCAACCTCCTGTCTACTAAGCTATCCCTCATTTAGGGACACCAGGCATTTCTTCAGTTGCCTTTATAGAAGGCAGTAGGAGCATTCAGCAGCCTAGCAAACTGCTTCTTGAGTTAACTGCCCAGTGCCAGTGGAAGATGAGTGGGCATAGCCATTCCATACAGCCATCGTCTGCATGTGTGAAATGGAGGGATACCTGTTCTGCTGTATCCAGACAGAAGCAGTCTAGGTAGGATGCTCCTTTATTTTCATTGCCATGGCAAAATCTTGGAGGTTGTGGGGGGAGGTGGCTGGGAAGTGACCTACTTTCAACTATTTCCATCTGCTACAATGAACTGCATAGCTGCCTTTAGGAGTGAGCACAGAGTGCTGCGTTGGGTGTGCAGGTATCTGTCATTGAGAAGTCCTTCATGCTCTTATCTGGGGCCATGGCTCTGCAAGAGGGCTTGGGTTTATTCTTGTAAGAGGGTAATTCACAGATGGTTTTCAGTGCAAAGTCCTGTCTGTCTACACACAGAGAGTGATGGCAGCCCTTCTTAGCAGCAAGGCTAAGGTGAAACAGATAGGAAGCCTTAGAATGTCTGATTGTATTCTAGCATTTACAGGTGGATGCTCGTTCAAGAAAGTGATTCATGAGTATCAGGAAAAATAAGAAGGCTCGGGCTATGAGACCTCTCTTACAGGCTCATTAAAGCTGCTGGGTTTCTTCCCTCTTCTTACCAGTTTATCTATTAGAACTGGATCAATTACCAGAAAAGGTGGAGCCACAGACCTGCCCTTGTGATGAGTCTGACCAGCAAAACAGGAAGATGGCTGTTTTCTGTTGCTTAATATAGGTAACAAAACCTGAAGGAAAAAAAAATAATAATAAATCACCATGAAGAGTGCACTGAAAGCCTTTTTTGATGGTTGTTGTGGTCGGGACATCTGGTTTTATCATCCACACTGCATCTCTTCCACCTCAGTTGACGCTGTCCTGCAGACTTGAGGGCTCTGGGTACAGCCAGTATGCCTTTGAAGGCAAGCACAAACACACTCTGTCCTTTGAGTCAGTGTTTCACAGCTGCATTAGGGCAGTTGTGAGCCAAGTGAATAGTCTGGAAGAACTCATCAACTTGGGAATGATGCTGCAATAACTAGTTTCTTGTTGGCGAGCCCAGAGCAGGGACAGAGTATTTGTGTGCCTGTCAAATTCCATGTTTAAAGTCCCCTTATGGCTGTGTATTCAGTTAGATCTCTGAAAAAAAAGTTACCTTGGCCATCAGCACGTCTGGGTAAGAGTCACTGGAAAGGAAATGTTTTCTTACAGGGCTCAAATGAGACCAGCCCTCTCCTTTTGGTTTTCCTGCTAAAGAAGGTAGTGGATGAAAAAAGTCCAAAGGGAATTATTTCTACAGCTGCTTTGGTAAAAGGAGGAATAATGGCTATTTTCTCCATTCTCCTAGCATAATAGGGATACCACAAAAGAACTGGTAAGAGTTTTTGTGAAAAACACATTTGACATTCGCAACAGCCACTGAAAAGTGGGTCATGCACAGCATAATATTATCCATATGTGAGATACATTTCATCCTGAGGATCTCAGGAAACCTCAGACATTGTCTTGCTTATTTGTTTTTGCAAAACTTTCCCTCAAGTGATTCATATTTGTACATGCACATGAATATTTCAAAGAATGTGTGTGTACACGTGTGCCTTTGCACCCAGCTGCATGGGGGAATAATGCAGGCTCTTTAATGGTGCCATCCCTGAGAGCAGGAACCAGAACATAGCATACAGCTAAAGAAAACTGATGGCAGCCAAAGTTGATTATTGGCTGGAAGTTTGGGTCAGGATGCTAAGAGTTCCAGCAGTGAGATTGCTAGGAAGCGTGTGGGTTTAGAACACAGCATAAGTAAAGAACCCATTGCATGTTTTAATTCCACCTATATGGAGAGCAGCAAAAATTTTTGAACTAGTGCATGGCATTCCTGTCTCCCTCATTCTCTTCTGTCATAACAGCATCTTGAGTGCCCATCGAGTGACCAACAATTTCCATGCACGTTTCTCTGCGCTGTCAAGAACCTACATTTATCGGCTGTTGATGGGCTGCACCCACCATTCTGAAATACCAGTGTTTGAGAGGGATCTGTGCTGGGCTCCCACCGGAGGGTGAGTGTCTTTCATAAGGCCCTGGGCAGCTCTGCAAGGATTTGGAAGAGGTGCAGAGGGGTAATTTCCACACGTGAAACCAGATTCCCACATCATATTGGAGATATTGAACAATGGAGCTGCACTGAGTTACATTCAATGAGGCCTGAGACAGTTCTTAACTGTACAGTCAGCTGTAGCTGTTGTTAACATGCTGAAGTACTCAATGGCTCTGGGCCACATCCATGAACAACTCTGTGTGCCCTGCATGGAAGCAGCGAGCATTTCCTCAGATAACCTTGCCAGTTCATACAGCAAACCCATTCTGACAGCTGGCTGAAGGGACAACGCTCTCAAACGATGCAGGCAGAAATGCATCACATGGCAGATGTCACAGCTTTAGGTGTGACCATACAAAGAAGGCAGTCAACAATGATGGCTGGCAATTTTTTTTTCTTTTTCTCATCCTGTTTCTGGTGATGACTGCATGTAAATTTTTGCTCTCATTCCCTGACTGAATGCTTTTATGTTTGAATAATAAGTGAGAGCCAATGACTGAGCAACCCTACAGTATGAAACTCGTGTATATAGCTCAGCATTCATGTGTTTTCTTAAAAACACTGAAGACATGATTAACAGTGGGCAAGAAAATAAAAAAAAACAGACTCCAGAAGAAAATTAGTTATGCCCTTTAGACAAGGTTGTACTGAGATAAATAGACATTCAAGAACACTGGAGTTTTTCACATTACAAGCTTGGAAAACCATCATGGTGTTTGATATTTTCTTACCTGGCAACACCTTTTTTGAGTTTACAAGGTACTGCAAAGGATTTTGTTCCTCTTTTCCTCCACTCTAGCATAAAGCTATATTAAATTCAACCATATTAAGCAGAACAGCAGGATAAAGCTTTGTGAAAAAACGTGTGCCTGCCAACCCCTCAACTAGCCTGGGGCTTTGAGCACCTTCAGACCTCAGGTCATTTGCCATCTTGGTTTGTGCTCTTGCAGGAAAAACTCCACCATCCACAATGCTGACACGTTCTATCTGCATGCTCAGATTAGGTCTCTCATCAGTTAATTGGAATTTGACATATTCACATAACATATTCAGTCCCACCTAATGCTGCTTTCCTTTTCAGCTACCTCAACGTGCCTGCCATGCAGGATGCAGCACAGTTCCTGCTGGGAACACACGACTTCAGCACTTTTTGCTCACTGAACTCTGAAACGCCATTTCGGTCTCCAGTCAAAACCATCCTACAGGCAGACATCCAACCCTCTTCTGGTTTCCTATCCCACCACTATGAATACAGGTGAGAGCCTAGATACTCAGCTGAGGAGCTGCCCTGATCAGCTTGTGCTTGCTTTGTCAGAAAAGCTGCTTTCCAGTGCTGTGCTGAGAGCTGACCTCCTCTCACTGCATTGCCTTCACAATCTCAGCAGGGTTCTGCCTAGTGTCAGTTTGGGAAGGATATTTCTTTTCTTCTCCCAATGACCTCAGGGAGAAAGATGAGCAAGGCCGAGGGCAGGGAAGCTGGCCCAGCTGTTTGTGCAGTAAGGTAGGGTGTCAGAAATCTGGCACAGCAGTTCCTGTGTGATGATGAAGATCAGTACTGCCAGGGGATGGGATTTTTATTTTCTTTCCTGCCTCTGTCTTAGCTTTGCCTAGAGGCTGCAAATAGGAGGAAAAATAACTCACCCAACACCTAGGGCACTGCTGTAGCTATGCATATCCTCTCAGTTCACACCAGTAACTCCTGCTGCCTTCCTGGGAGATGCTGATGAAAGAAAATTCAATATTCCTCAGTCAATACGTAAACAACAGATTGCTGTGTGTCAGGTTCTTTCAGGACCAGATCTTGCAAGTATTGAAATGAAGTGGCTGGATGTATTGTCTCTCTTTAGCAGGAACTGAAGCTTTTTTTCCCCAGGAAGATTACATGTATTTATCATCTGAACATGGCCCCTTCTTTCATGCTGGGTTCTCTCAGAGAAACATGGCTGTTGTGTTCCAGCTTGAAAGCAGACATTGCTATTGTCTGTCTCCAAACCACGTTCTCTTTGTTTCCAAATAATAGAAAACCCTTTTCTTTGTATTTCTTCTCCATTAGGTTTGAATATTTACTGAGCAGTCTGCAACAGTAAGGGCCATGCTTCAAGCTTCAGCTGAGCCTTGTTGTAGTTTTCAAATAGCCTGCTCTTTCTTTCCCCCCTTGTCCTAGGATGGTGTTTTTTGCCAGCAATAGTGTAGGATAAAAGCCAGAAGGGAACTGCAAAAACAGAGAGAGATCTGTATGCTCTGAGTAGCCCTGGTCTTTCAGTTCCTCTCAGTCTCCCTATTCAGGGTCAGGAGGAAAAAGGCATTTTGTCTGATCCATGGTTTCTCTGCACAGTATTGGTGCTGTGAACACACAGCTGCATTACAAAAAGCCACCTAGTTGGGTATGGCATATTCACTGAAGCTCTGTGCTGTACAAGTACAAGGACATGAGCAGTGAGTGCCAGATGGGTTGCTTCCTTCCTGCTTATTTGCAGCTAAAACACTGCCTGCATTGGAAAAGGAGGGCTGGAAGGGAAGCTGGGTGCTGTTACCTGGCTGCATTCCTGCTGTCTGTTGTTGGGCTGCCACTGCTGGCTGGAGAGCTTGACCACCACACAAGTAAACTCAGTGCTTTGCCACTGAGCTAGCCTGAAAATAAGCATTAACAGTCTCATCAAGATCACCTGTGAGTGCATGCAGATCAGGTTATCTTCAAAATCCAGACCTACTGTTGTTTGTTGTCCTCTCCCTGAGATTTGATACGGATCAGCTTTTTTACATCTTTAATTTTATTTAAATTTAAAAAAAAAAGGAATTTACCATTCCTTGCATAACTTGCTGCATAAACCCATCCCACACAAGGCCAAAAACAGCTCACAGGAGAGAGCAAACTGAAAAATGGGATGAAAGGCATCAAGCTTGTTGCTGATAGCATTTTTTTGCTTGGTGACGCATGCAGCCGAAGTTGTGTTTTGTAACAAGTCATTTTTTTAATGTGCCAATATTGATTGATTTTCAGAACATCTAGGTTGAAGGGGGGTGGCTTTGAGAAGCCTTGTTTTGATGCATTTATACAGCACCTAACTCCCTTACAATCCTTCCTTAGTTATTAAAGCCTTAACCAAAACCATGAGTTTCCTGATCTAAAGAAAAAAAAGTTAACGTGTTTGTGACAGGCTGAGTGGGTGTTTTTCTTTGGCTGATTTTGGTTTATTGCAGTGTCCTAGTTCTAATCTGCAAAACACCCTACAGGGACAGCTGCAGTCATGGAGCTTGGTGTTTGCTTTTGCCTATACTGCAAGTAAGACAGCAAGTGCCTGAAATGCACGTGTGTTTCTTCCCTGCAGTGGCAGAATGAGCTGTCCCTGCAATGAAAGGGCTGTTATAGCAAAAAAAAAAATAAAATCTATTTATAAGCTTTTAATAAGTCTAAGGAGCTTTATTTTCTGCTTCAGAGGGAGGAATCTGCAGAATGATAAACCAAGGTTTCTTAGTCAAATAATGCAGCTTTTCATTCGCATTCTTCCCCTCTTTTCTGAACTTAAACCAATCTTCTGAATTGACTGCTTGTCTTTTTAAATGATTCCTTCCGTCAAACTCAGTTGCTCAGCAACACTGGAAGTGGAGTTAAGTGTCCTATCCATCCGAAATGCTTTTTAATGCTGAGGATGTGCTTAGAGCCTCAGCCCCATTCCCAGGGAGTGACTGCTCTGTCACCTGTTTTCTAGTTGAATATGTATTATTCATTGCAAGGTGCTGCCTGCTGCTGCTAAGTGGAAAAGACAGACAGAATTTGTGCTGGTAAGCAGAATTCCTTGTGAGATTGACAAAAAAAAAAGAAAGTTTCCCACTCTAAGAAAAATATTTTGTTCTCTTTCGATGTCTACAAGATATTTTCCTGAAGCATCTCAAGCTATCTTTTGGAGCTTAGTGCATCTGCTTGAGACACCCAAGGCAGGAGGACCCTGGCTAGAGGTAGTACATGCAGACTGTCTCTTACCATTGCTGAAGAGCTGAGCAGACTCCTGGCTGTAATGTGGTGGGTATTTGTGCACGTGCCCAGCGCCACACATGTCTATATGCCACATCCTCCTTGCTGTAGGGAGAGCAAACCATATGTAAGTGATGGAAGGATTGTCATTTCCTGACATAAAGAAGAATCTGGGGGTAGAGCTGCCTTTGCATTTACCAACATACACAACAGGGAGGACTAAAAGCAGTAACTTATCTGTGAATTCTGTGAGAAAACAGCTTGCAGCTGCTCCCTGGGGTGATAATTTCACAGTCTCTCTTCCTCTCACCCTGCCCCAACACCCCATGCAGGCTGTGAATCACACTGTCCCTGCTTCATCTTTTTCCACCATTTACAAGAGCTGTCTTCTAGGCCCCCCCTTTATGCTCAGGTGCTTCCAGCAAACCCAGGCTGTCCTGATTCCACCAAAAATGTTGCAGCTGTGCTTTTCCCACAGCTGATTCAAGTCTTCAGAGCCCCACGCAACTGGGCTCATGGCAGGGGAAACGAGAAGAGGTTTTGTGTGTGGACATCTATAGGCTTTTAGTACTCTTTGATAGTCTTGTCCTTGTAGGGAACACTGGTTACCACCTTAAAGCTTTCTGGATAATGATATCTGTATCAACGGATTTGGAGAAGGGAAAAAGATACGTTTTCATGCAGTGGTATCTATCCATCCATCCCCAAATATTCCTGGTCTTTTTCCTGCTCTGCTTACTCTCAGCCTCCAGCTACTCCAGAACTGCTGCCCAGAGCAGGCTGTGGGGTGGTTTACATTCTGAATTCTTTGCAAGGCAGCTGGCTTCCTCAAAAGTCTATTTTTCCTGTCTGGATTTGAGTTCCTGAGCCTGCTGTGGGCAGTGGTGAAGGAAGGGGCAGTGTGGGGAGAGTGGTGGAAAAGGAGACTGATCTGTTGTGAAATGCAGATCGGAGGCAATCAATGCAGCCTTTTTGCAAGCATCCCTGATGTGGAATGATGGATGTTGCTGCAGTTGGTTACAAGAGCCTTGTTTTGTCTGCGCTATTTCCCCCTGCCACAAAATACCCACTGCTCAGTCTCAATCCTGATGGTTTTGAATTCTCTTCTCCTTGTTGCCTTCATCTGAGCAACGCACAAAATTCAGTCCTTTATGAACTCTTAATGTAACATCCCCAAGGCACTCCCCACAACCCCTGTTCCCATGCTTGCTCCCTATCATGGCACTGAATTACAAATCCTGCACTTTGCTTTTGCAGCTCTCCATGTGTCTGCTGCTAGAAGAGCTGCATGGTGGAGAGGTGCTCATACCAGTGCTGAGCACTTCTGTGCCTCAGTGTTCTTCTCTCCTTGAAGGATGCTGTTATCAGTGTGCAAAGGTTTTGGTCTGAATAAATGCTATGGGAAAAGGCTGAGGCCATTACAGTGGGATAGTCTTTGTTAAGCTGTACACATGGTGGAATTAGAGCTTTTATAAGTGTTTGTTTGTGACTTGACAAGTGAAAAGCTTTTATCAGAGCTAGAAATGTTCAGTCACGTCCAGAATGATTTATGGGATGGCAGAAATGCTGTTGAGGGCAAATCATTTAGTTCAGCCTGACACGAGGTAAGCGCTTCTCTTGGGTGAGATGCAATGCTGACATTGCAGAGCTCCACTTTGGCAGCAGGTTTTTAAACGTTTGCTGCTCTGCTGTCCACATCAGGATTGAATCTTTCCTGGAATTCTGCCAACTGTTGTTCTGGGGAAAACATCTGGCAGAGGAGAGTTTGTTGCGAGAAAAGGAGAAATGGGTTTTCAGGTTGGAATTTACCAACTTAACAGTACTTTGAGTGCCCATTATGCCCCTGACACAGGTTCAGATTTACCCAGCACTCATCAGAAGACCCTCTGCCATCCTTCCTTCACCATACCTTCATCTCTTTCCTTTTGGTTCATTCTATCCTCTCCTCCTGGAGAGCAGCAGAACACATGGATGTCAGTACAGCTGTCACCTTGCTTTCTTTTTGCTAAGTAAAACCATCTCCTGACCAGAACAGAGACTGGTGTTTGAGCTCTGGGAGCTGGCCTGGCTTTGTGGTAGCATTCTCAGTCACTGCAAGTGTTTTTATTTCACTTCTTTCTTAACAATGTCTAGAGAAAAACCATTCTTAAGCACTGAAACCTCTGCTGTTAAAAAATAACGCTGCCATTAAGGGCTATTTTGTCTTGTAAGGAATCTTGCAGTTTGCACCTCTTCCTTGGAGCTACCTCCTCTGGTCAGATCAGACAGTCTGCAGGTATTTCAACTCTTTGCTTTCCTTTAACACAGCAGGCATATCCTCTGCCTAAACGGAGGTGGTGTTTGGAGCACTTCAGTGGTGCCCAGGAAAAAGGCTAATTCTCTGTGTTCTCTCTGCAGTTTGCACTTCTAAAAGAGCAGCTTGTTGGCTTTGAGGCAGTCAGTGACTCAAAGTAGCTTACATCTCAGCAAGCATCAGCCCCTCCTGTTGAACCAGCAGCCCTCATATAGGCTCTAACTGCAGGATGGTGTTTTGCAACAGCCCAAAGATCCATCTGGCAGGCTGGGCCTTGAAGTGCTGAAGCAGAATTTGTGCTTACCAACTTCTTCTTCATCTGAAGGCTTCAGAAGATTTGTAGCTGAATTGTTGCTCCTTAATCTCCTTTAACCGTCCTGGAGGTGTTCTTATTGATAACTCTTCTTTTGTTCCAAATCCTGTTAGTTTAAACTGATTATTTTTTATCACAGGGAGGTTTAGGGGAAGGCTGATGCTTCAGCACTGCTTAGCAGTGGCACTAAGCCACCAGATACTGTAAAATTTCCCTTTAAAATGCTTGAAATTTGGGTGAAAAAGATGTTATTTGTGCCCAGAATGAATGGCAAAGCGACTGAGAGCCCAAATCTGTTGCCATGCTTCTGTCAAAGCTTTTCTCCCCATGTAGAACAGCATTAACCCAAACAGCTGGGTTCACCTACACAGTCCCTGCCACAGCATTGGTGTTTTCACAGCCAGCTGACCTGCCAGCCTGCCTCCAAGCAAAGATGGGTCCCTGTTTTATGCAGGATTCTTTGGGAATTGAAGCTTTTGGGCATTATGGTGTGGGCCATGGTGTCCTCTTGCCTGCCTTGGGGCACACTCATCCCTAGACAGCTCTGCTTCCAGCAGCTCACTCCAGTGCCATCCCAGCTTTGTGCCCTGTGTGCTTCATGTGGCTCTGTTCACTCTTAAGACAACAAACCTGCTCTCCTCATACACTTGCATTGTTCCCTTTCTGACAAAGGTTTCTTTATTTCTCATTAATGTTACTTCTCCCTTATAAATATATGAATTATTTCAGTGTAGCCATAACTGACCTATGTAGCTGTTCCCAACAAAGGTAAACAGCAGCATTTGAGCTAGAATTGTTGGCTATTTATAGTTCTAATTAGTGATCTTTAATGCAGACGTGGATCTCAGCTACTTGTTCATTCTGCTCGTGTTCACCTATGGCTTATGCTGTTCTTGTAAGAAGTTCTCACATTTGAGATGTGATTTTTAAACACTTTTTTTGTTTGTCTCTGTAGGGGACTGCAGTTCTGGGAGCTGAAGTTCAAGAGCAGATCTTTTCTTTACCGACAGGTACTGTTCTGTTCTGTGCACCCTTTGTCTCCAAGAACCCAAATGTCACTCTCACTGTAACACAGTTGATTTGGCAGCGTTGCATCCATGTGTAGTGCCATCTCTGTTGCAGAGCTGGTCCTAGAGCTTCATGATACACACAGGAACCTTGCCTCTGTGAAGCGAGGCTCCACGTTTGTTGTCTGATCCACTAGAACCAGATTTATCTTTGGTTTGTGTCTGAAATGAATGACCAAAGTCACAGAATCATGTGGGAGGATGGAAAGTTTTGTTTTCCTCAGTCTTTGTCCTTGCAGTCCGAGTGGTGAAAACCAAGAGACATATGTTCTTGCTCTGCTGAATGGCACTGGGCCCAGTGAAGGCTGCCTGGAATTTTACTTTCTGGCTTTGGAGCATGAGGTAATTCTCAGTGTTGCATGAAGGAGAGATGGGAAGACCTGATTCAGCTATGCAGGCACGACTGCAGGATCGTTCCCTCTGTCATGCTGCTGGGTTTTCTTTGAAATAACTCCAGTGAGGTTTTTGCTGCTGTCCTCAAGGGAGACGGCTCTCTCCACAACTTAATGGATCACCTCATTAGGAAACAATTGGCTGTTCTGTCTGCCTACTCCGGGCACAGTCACACTCTGGAGACAGAATAGGCATGGGAAGGCTTGTTTTGGAAGAGAGAGGGGGTGTTTTGTGGGAACAGTTATTTTTTATTCTGTTTTGACAAACTGGATTTGTTTTTATCCTGTGCCAAGCAATGCTCCGTAAGCTCTCTGACAGTGGGTGTCTGGATATGAGCAGGGGAAGGACGATAACATGCTTGAGAAGGCTTGATACATAGCAGGGATCTGCTTCATCAGATGCTCTTGTGACAAGGAGAAAATGCTGGTAACCCATTTAACGCATTAGACTGGAAATGCTACTTAGTGACATTGGTAGCTCTCTCTTTCTGCACGGTAATGCTGAGCCCAGTGCCCTCTGTGAGTGGGGCTTTCAGCAGCAGCCTCAGAGCTAGCTGGCAGGCCAGGGGAGCAGGAACAGACTGTACATGGTGAACCTGCACTCTGCACACCAGCAGACCTGAGCATCTGCTTCTGCACTCCATCACGGAGAGCTTGCTGTGTTACATGGACCTCTGATTTCATCTCATATGGCTACTATGTTATGTTTCACCATCTGGATGTTTTTTTATTAGAGAATAGGGTTAAACAGTCTCAGAAACTGATGTGTATCTTCTCCCTGAAGGACGTGGAGCAGCAGGGAGGCACCAAGCACGAGGCTGTTTCAGATGCCTCCCATCCGATTTACACCAGCTAACTCCCAAGTGTGGAGACATCAAAGCTGAAGTCACAGCATGCAATGACCCCTAGCGAGGGACAGATAACATAACATACACTGATGATCTGTGCTGCTTCTCCACGACATCAGAATGGCTACAAGGCAGGCTCTGGGCACCATGTAGTGCAGCTTAGGCTCCAAGCAAGTAGGTGAAAATAGTGCCTACCTTTGGATAAATATATCTTTGCTCTGTAACGGAGATAAACTTGATGAGGTTGTTTAGTAGACTTTGGTTTAATCTTTTGTAAATGTTATTTTAAGCACTGTACTTGGTTTAAGTTTCCCATCTCTGCTTGCCATGACTCCTCCACAAGGATCTACTTGTGCACTTGAGACTGGGGGACAGTTTGGTGGGCATGGAAAACCCACTACATGTGGTGAGAGCACCATGGCTTGAGGGCAGCCCAGGGAAGAGTGGCTTTCAGCCTGGAGAATGCTGAAGTGCAAGGGTGTGAGAGTAGGTGAGCACTGGGTGTGAAATTTGTGCTAACCCAATAGATTTGGAATTGCTTAGTGTGGAGGGGAGGGAAGCTGTGACATGTGGAGGTGTTCCAAATGCCAATTTGATGACTTAGTTAGCTGGTGGGCTTTCTCACTTGGGTGTGTTGTTGTTTTTTCTCCTTTTGCTTTTGGCCCTCTGAGAGAGAAGCAGGCCCCCACATAGCCCCCACCTGGAAATTGCTGCTTGTGCATTAAGATTGTGTGAGCCCAGCACAAGTGAGCTTCCTGCCACAGGCAGCCTGTGGCTGCTGCTGCTTCTGAAATAGAAACCATGTCTGCTCAGCTCTCTTCCCACCTGTGATGAGAACAAGCCTGCTCCAAGGCAATGAAACTGGAGATTGTTTTGTGCTACATTGTGTTACAGGTCTTGATTTTCCTGGTGCCCACAAAACACTGCTGATACAAAGAAGTGTAGGACTCTTAACCTCTTAAATATTACAAGGGGCAGTTCCTAAGCTGTATGCTGTCTTTTCAGGTCCGAAGAATGGTTGGGGCTCTAGTTGCAGTTGGCCAGGGAAAGTTGGCACCTCATCATATAAAGGAGCTGCTGGAGATGAAGGATGCAAGGGCTCTTCCATCATTTGCCATGGCTCCATCATCCGGACTCTTCCTAAAATCAGTGGAATATAATGAAGCAGGTAAGGGAAGGCTAGGCAGTGACTTTATATCTATGGGAGTCAGACCTCATACTGAAAGGAACAGAAGCCCCCACAGTCCTCCTTTTTGTGCCATTTACAGCAGTTGCTATGGAAAATGAGTGTTAGTTTTTTCCTGGTAGATTTCTTCCTCTTACTTGCAAGGTAGTGAAAGAGAAATCATGCTTACATGTTAGCTTTCTTAATTTAACGGCATCTAAATCATAAACAGTGAAGATTTTTAGCTTAGAAAATAAGAACAAAAAGGCAAACTTGCAGAAGATATCAGCAAAGTTTGGTATTCTTGTTAGGGATGGAGGGTGTTAAATATCACAGGGAATTTAATGCAGGCAGAATGTGGTAAAATGATGCTGAGAGCAGACAAAGATGTCTTTGATTGTAAATCAAACTCTGTGTTACTGTCTTACTAAAGAGAACCAATGAAAATTATAGCAATAAACATGTTCACTTGCTTTTGATGAGATCACTGAGAATCTGCAGAAGACAGAGGCATCGAGTTATTTCCTGGCTCCCTTATTGCTACAGGAGGTGCTAACATTAAAACTACTGTCCCTTCTCTTGTTGCTGAGATGAATGTGCTGCCTACCATGGGGCTAACACCACATTTCTCTGCTGCAGTGCTGAGGGAGAGGTGCTGTCAGCTTTCAGTTGTGCACTTGCTGCCTGCTTTGTTTCAGCTGTAATCCTTCCCACAGCCACAAATGCTTCTTCTCCCTTTTAGTCCTCATTACTTCAGTGCATAAAAAGGACTTCCCAGCACACTGCAGGCCTGTTCCAGGCTGCCTTGTCCCAGGCAGGGCACAAACCTCCTGCAGTGGGCTTTGGGAATGCTCTCTGCTGCTGCAGCTGTGTGCACACTGGGGCTTAAAGACAGAAGGGAAAGGGAAGCAACAATGAGTGGTGCAGGGAGCTTGAACATAACACTTGGCCTGGCCTTGAAGAGGCAGCTGCTGCTGCTTGTGGGTTTGGGCCTTTCTCCATAGTGGTGCATTTCCTATTCATGCTGGCTGTGGAGCTGCCTGTGCCAGTGGGGAGGGAGCGCAGGCAGGAAATGAAGACCACAGACTTTAAGAGCTTTCAGTGCCATCTTTTTCCTTAAATCAATGTTTTCTTTTTTTTTTTTTTGTCCCCTCTCAGATTTGCAAACAACAGTGGCCCCGGGAGAATAGCAGCTCTGTCAGCCATGTCTGAAAGGACTGTTGTTGTGGATATGGGATGGAGGTTTGCAGAGCTCTTCATGCAATATATGGTCTTGTCTCAATAAACATCACTGACTGTAGGCATCTTCCCATCGTTTGTTTGCTAAGGGGAAATGAAGAACGATGCTGCTTTCAGATTACTGCTTTTTTTTCCCCTCCTTCCCCTGATGTGTTTTCTCATGTTTTTGTTTTGTTTTAATCTTGCCTGCTTGCCCAAGCAACAGCACATGCTGTTGGGTAATGTGTGTGGGTTGTTGTATTATTTTTTTTAATCATGAATGACACCAGAATCACTGTTTGGGTTATAAAACGGTTCTTGGAATGCTGAGTTACAGGAAAGAGGATGAAAGTTGTGACTTCTGAAGAAACAGCACCCAATTTAAACACTTTCCTGTAGCGGAAGCCACGTGCAGCTCAAATGCCTGGTACCATCATAATTAGTCTCTCCTTTGTCTGTGAGAGGAGAAGAATTAGAGAGCTGAGAGTTCATCATAGCGATCTGGTGAGGGGATGTCCTTTGTTATGTGGCAATTCAAAGCGTTCAGGTAACGAAGGAGGAATATTAATAACCCTCAAGGATTAAGGAGTTTCCACGCACTGGGTGGGGGGTGAAGGTGCAGGTGGGATGCAGCACCTCCCTGACCTCTCTTAAGTCCCTCAGCAGGGAGATTGAACTTAGTGGTTGGTGCTGCTGCAGGACAGCCCATCTCTGAGTGTTCCCCAACTTGAAGTGATGTATATCCCCTCGCTCTGTTTCCAGAGACCAACATTTGACAAGATGAGAAGGAGAGGGAGGAAACTTCTGGTTACTCTTGCTTTGGGACCAATTTCCAAAGACAGAACTTTGGAGGAATTTTAACAGAAGAGAACTGAAGCCACTGTGTTGCCAGTATGGTATGTGTTTGTGCTTTTCCTGGTAGGGCCTTGCTGCATTAGTACCTAGAGGTATGGATGTTGTAATGTGCTTTCAGAGCAAGCAATAGCGCTTGTCCATTTGTGATCCAAACCTGAACGCGTGCCCATGTTTCAGACAGGGAACAGCAGTTAAGTCTTGCTTTTCCTTCCCTTGAAGGGAAGGGAAGTGAGAGCGTCGGGCTGAAACACTGGCACAGAGGTGGGCTTTGCTCTCCTGGGGCTGACAAGCAGGCTGAAGGTGGCTGTGTGTGGGAGCAGGATGCCTGTCCCACGCTGCAGGTATGTGCAGGAACCACAGCACGCACTGCTGCTGGCCACAGTCTACATCCTCACCCTGGTCCTGTAAGGGAACGTCTTGCTGATGGGGCAAGTGCTGCGCCTGCATGGCAGTGACAGCTTTTCTTTCTTCTTCACTTCCTGTGGTTTCTCTGCAGAGCAGTGTGGGTGAGCTCTGCCGTGGGTCTATCAGCACAGCTTGCTCTGGTGTTCACAGCATGCAGTGACCTTGTAGCTGTGAGTGGGGACCCTGCACAAGGCAGCTTTTGTGTGAGGTGATGGCCTGAGCTCTGGTAAGTCACCTTTCTGATTAATTTATTATGCAGATTTGCTGGGGAGAAAACTGAACCAAAGAGAAACGTTCCTCAGGTGTCAGACAAGCTAGCTCCTATGCAGGCCAAGGTATTGCAGCAGGTTTTTAACAAATGCAGTACAAAAATACCTGCTGTTTTCTGCAAATGTTTCCTAAGTTCTGGTTGCAGTCAAAAAACCTATTGTGCTTATGGGCTTGTTAGCTGAGCAACCCAAATTCAGCTGTCTGGACAATGGGCTGGGGGTGGCTGGCTCTGCACTTAGCAGAGAAGTGTAGTTTTTGTCACTAACAGGTTAGCTTTCAGCAGGAGGGGGCTTGGTGTTCTTTTCCTTCTGTTGTTGCATTACCAGTTCCTTTCAGTTGGATCAGTTTGGACATCCAACACAGGCCTATTCTGTCTTTCTGAGTGCTTGACAGCGATGCTTTGAAGCCAAAACCAGAAAAACCTCATGCTTGACTTAAGGTTCAAAGGAAAAAGCTTGGTTTTATATGAAGATAATCCTATTAATTCAATGAATTCAAAGTCTGGTGTAAACTTTGATGTCTGATTTGCTGTAGTTTTGTAAATCAAGCAATTTGCACAGAAGTACAATGGTGTTTTCCAGTTGTTCATAGGAAATATTTGAAGGTAAATAGGGATATCCCTTGCCCTTCCCCACTTCTCCTTGGAGAAAATTACCTCTGGGGAAGCAAAGCTGGATGTGGAATTTGGTCAGACTCCTTGCTTTAAAGTGGTAGGTAAGGAAATCATACATTATTGTAAGAGATGAATTTGGCTACACGCCTGGAAAATAATTTACTCCCAGCCTGCATCACTTCTATTACTTCTCTCATTGAAAATGAAAACATTTTCAAACAGATCAATACATGGTGGTGTCACACAGAGCATATCTAACTGTTTTGAAATGGCTGAAAGAACAACATGTGAAATATTGGATGTCTGATTTTTTAAGGTTTTTTTCCCTTCTCCCTTTTCCTATTCCTTCCTTTTGCTGTAATTCAGCTTCATTGGGTTTGAGTGCACGACAGGCTGCACCAAGGCACACTCAGTGTTTTTACACAAGCTTCACCTGGTACTGCCTGGCTGAGGCCTCAAGAGTTGCCCATTTTCCACTCTCAGCACACAAGATGTAATGTGAGCTCCTACTCCAGATGAGGAGGGATTTAAGGGATCAAGTGAGCCTACAGCAAACAATATTAGTGTAGTGTCATGGTGCAGACAACTTCTGTGCCTTTGTGAGGCCATGAAGCCATCCTGCAGGGAGCTGAGGGCCATCGGTTTTAGGCAGTCTGTTAGCAGTCTGATCTAGCTTGAAGCATACAAACATTTTGTTGCAGCTGTTAGAGAACCTTGGGATGCTTTTCTCCACAACATAAGCATCTGCTATTCGGAAAAAATCGTTGTTGTTTTGGAGCTGTTGTCTGGTAATATCTAGAGATGTCCTGATTGTGCTTGTGAGAAGCAGAAGCTAATCTCTCCCCTCTCTGCTTTGCTCTTTCAGTGATTTTACCAGCCTCTGCCTTATCTTTCCCCAGCTGCAACACTTTGAATGTAGAAAAGAGATGTTCAGTGGCAAAACTGAGATAAAGGTTGTTTCAAGTTCAGTGTGCCTGACGTTCTGGCTCAGCACGTGCCTGGCTTTCTTCTAATTAATCCTCCTCTGTTTGTGTGTATGCAAATACTGTGCTGCTTGGTGAAAGACCTGTGGGAGCAGATACGTTCCTCTGCCTACCTAAAGTGAAACTGTTTTGTTCCCTACAACTTCCAGTTGTAATCTTCAGTGCTTTTGACTGCAGTAGATAAATAACTATTGGGAGGAAGTGCAATTTCAGCATTTCCTTTGGAAAGTACCAAACAACCTTTGTGTTTTCGTGCTTTCAATGGCCCAGCTTGAGACACTTCATTAAAATGAGGATTCATTTTTTCCACTCTGTTTAAGGACATCTTCAGTTAAGGTGTCTCTCTTTTGATTAGTCACTCAGATTCACGTAAGCAGTGTTCTCTTCTCCAGCAGGTTTATGTAACGTGAGTGACCTAGATGAGGGGCATCCTACTTGTGTAGTGCCTCTTTCTCCCTATTTCAAACACAAACTCGTCTTTTAGGAGCTCCCTTCTGTTAACTCAGTACTGCTATCTTGTGTTGAAACGCCAGCAAATAATTGGGCTGTTGTGTAACCTTCAAATGCTCATGTTTTAAATGATTTATCCTCTTACAGCAACACCACTTTCCACCTAACTTGACCAAGCACAGCTGCCTGAAACGTGTCATCAGATCTAACATCACTGATAAGCATAGCTTTAGTTCTTAACCATGTGAGAAGAAATAACACTTCAAACTCAAGAACCTCATGAGGTAAGGGGTGGTTTATAACTTCTATCCTGCTGGATATTCCTCCACTTCAACAGAAATCATGGCAAACGTTTCCTGGACTGAAGGTGTCTCCAACAGGACAGCTGTCAGGTTGGAAGCAGACTTCCAGTATTCCTTGTTTACTACCATCTACAGCATTGTGTTCGTGCTGGGACTGATAGAAAACATCTCAGCCCTGTACCTCTTGTCTAACAAAGCAAGGCATACTTCTCCTTCCTACATCTACATGATAAACCTAGCTCTGGCAGACACCTTGTTTGTTTGTGTGTTGCCTTTTAAAATTCATTACCACCTGAATCGGAACAATTGGATCTTTGGTGACATGGCTTGTAGGATAACTGGGACTTTGTACTACATCAACATCTATCTAAGCATTGTCTTTTTCACCTGCATTTGTGTCGATCGTTACATTGCAGTGCTGCACCCCTTCACGTACATCCAGATCAGAGTCACTCACTATGTGGTGGTGGCCACAATCCTTTGGGTGGTTGCCCTAAGCATCATGGTTGCGCTCATTCTTGGTGGTCCCCTCCACAACAAAGGGCTCAGGAACACCACCATGTGTTTTGAGAACTTTGCAAGGAGCAGCTGGATTTCTCGCATGGCCCTTTACAACATCTTGGCCTTGGTTTTTGGTTTTGTCATCCCGTTTTCCATCATTCTGATCTGCTACCCTCTCATTGCGAGGAGGATCTCCCAGATCAAACACAGCATTCGCAAGAGGAAAGCTCTGACTACCATCTACATCATCTTGCTCATTTGTACTCTCTGCTTTCTCCCATACCACCTCACCCATTTCCTCCATTTTTTAATGAGAAGCCAGGTCATCCAGAACAAATGGTTTACTAAGCTGATCTATAAAATGCGAAGGATCACCTTAGCCCTGGTGAGTTTCAACTGTTGCCTTAACCCGTTCCTGTACTACTTCACCTCTTCTAGCAGGACGTGGCACTTCAACTTCAGGTTCAGATTCAGGTCTAAAGTGGTGTACACCATCTGTGATCAGAAACTTGGAGAGTACTCCTATATTTATAAACTACACCAGAGATGTGAAAATAAAAAACAGAGAGATGGAATCAACTGACCTACTCCAGGTAAGTACACTAGCCATCTTTCTAACTGCTGCTTGAAATCAAACCTGTGATACCTATCATTCTTTCATACAGTGGTTATTACATCAAGGCAGCACTGGAGGAAAGTGTCTAATGGTTATATATTTTTGTTAGCCAGCTATAACAGCACTTGAGGGAGCCTGTAGTCCAGATCAAATATGCTGAGACACCATATTCATACACACTGGTGTTCTTGCCTCCTTGGGACATAAGGCTTGATTCTGGAATGCAGCACAGGAAAGGGTTACTTAAAACAAACCAGCCTCCTTATTGATGCTAACCCTGAAAGCTGAGTGAACCCCTGCAGTCCTGCTTGGCTTTTCCCTTTTTTGGAGGGATCCTGTGTTTTCTCCCTGGGTGTACGCTGTAGTCAGCTGTGTTCACAAACTGCCTACATTCCACAGCCAAATAAGGGCTGCTTCTTCCCTTCTTATGAACCAGTTAATTGGCTTCCTGAGGAGTACTTGGGTACAGGCATTGTAGAATCACATGCCTGTAAAGTCAAGCTGGCCATCTCTTAGAAACAATATTAGAAGATAACAGATGAGAGCATTTATCAGTTAACCCTGTGCAGTGGTAAACAAGCTCCTCTCCATAAAGTCACTGGGGAAAGTCATCTGTTCCTACACAACTTGCACAACTTACACTGTGCTGTACTGTTCAAATGTCTTTTTTTTTTCCTTATGACTGATTAAGTGATGATGATGTGTCTGACACGTTTCACCCTTTCTCCTGTATTAACAGAATCACACAGCTTCTCAGCAGAGAACTGCTGAGTTTTCTACCCACAGAGTGGGACTGTACCATCACAAGAGGAAAGAATTTATCATTCACGAGTTACCAGTCACCAGGAAGCCATGGGCCTGACTCAACTTGCTT